TATAGCTATTCGCTTGCTGTATCAGACCGGCAAGCGGAGTGTATACTAACCACCTATGTAGATAGAAAATAAAATAGGCATTATTTAGATGTGCATGCTACATCGTCGACCTCATCGTCATTTTCCATCAGGTGAGATGGACGTCAAATGCGCACTTATTTTTATATAAAAAGAAGAAGTTACGGGAAGACATGTGAATGGTATTAAAAACAAAGTAAAATATTTGTGTTTTCAGGCAGCGAGCTCTCTCGTCAGTTAGACATGTGGCTGTCAAAGGCGGATCTCACTCATGGGCCAGCTCGTGCTATCATTGCGCCGTAAGTACATTGAAAAAACGTCTATATATCTGCCATCCGTTCCAAAGCAGGACACTGGCATAATAAAATACCTACGACAAATCGTCGCTTTACTTTCTCAAACTCGTATCTTAAAACACAAAGTTACTGAAAACAATAAATGGATTGTATGTACAAATTTTGCAGGTTGATTTCACATCACATTTCTTTCATATTCACACGCTGGCTTTTCCCTATTCCTAAAGTAATGCTTCCAAATTAACACCCTTAATAAGAAATTTAAAATAAATAGAAATTGTCATCTCCGGAATAATCACTCTTTATAAGATACGAGTTTTAGAAATTATGGAAGGCATCGAAATGTGGTATGGTTGGAAAATTATTACGAGGACGAGCTCATGAAGTATCCTCATTTAAAACTCTAACTTCACGTGATTTATTTCTTTTTCATCATTAGATATAAAGTCTGTATTTTTTTAAAGACGGAGCAAAATGACAGATCATTGCGCCAAAATGTTGCCAACTTGCAAGCAGTTAGCGATTGAGTCGATAAATCGATCACGCTTATGGAATAAATAGCCGAACTTGTTTATTTGAATCATCCTCAACCCATTATAAATCCAATTACTGAGCACAAGTTCATTTGAATTGTCAATTTCTGTAAGTCCATACACACGTACACTGTATTTGGAAGTATATTTATGAAAAATACAAAAGGGAGGCATATTTTAAAGTTTTTTGTTTGAATTGAATGTAGATTATGAAATTCGGCTATGCTTTCAAATTTAAATACAATACAAATATTCTTTATTGCACACGGACAAATACATAATAATACAAAAAAGTAAAAACGACAGCTACAACAGGTGGCCTTATTGCTATATATATATAGGAAAAACTATAAGATAAAATTAATTGAGGGCGCAACAGAATTTGTATTTAATTAATACACATATTGCGCATACACAAATGAAGAAAAAAAGTAATAAATAAAGAAAACCTAATAATAACAATAGGTACACGAAATTTAAAATCAGGAAGAACAGGAGAAAATAACAATTAGAGTATAAGATAATGAGCTTTGAGTAAAGTTTTGAAAGACTCAACAGACTTAGGCGTCTGATTGATTCAGGTAAGGAATTCCACAGTTTGATGCTTCTAACATTGAAAGAATTGGAATAAAAGTTAAAAGAGTGGATATGACAGTTTAAAGAAAGAGTAAGAGAGAAGACCGTAAGGTTCGACTGAGAATAGTGCTATGATGCACGAAACAATGGGATGGTGGGATTAAACAGAACAGAGTATATACGAAAATCTCTACGACGACGAATGGGTAACCATCCAAGTTTGGAGCGAAAGTCTGAAACATGGGTCAAACTTACGCAACCCAAAAATGAACCTAATGCAAAGATTCTGCAACCGCTCCAGCTTGTTGAGTAGACCTTCAGACGAGTCTGGATAGAATAGGCAGAAGGAGCGACTGTGCTAGACTGATTTTAGTCGAAATGGGTAGAACATTTACCACATGTCGAATGGACATGTAAGCACTAAATATTCTCCTACTTTTTCCACGTTCACAGTTATACTTATAAAAATGTATATGAATAAACATTTATCTCGATACTCGTAGGCCAACTACGAAAATAAGAACATAGACGGCAATAACGCATATAGTAATCATTAGAACGTAACACTCACAATACAGTCATTTCAAAATTTTATCTTTCACAATCTGTCGACAACAACTACATCACTGTTCAAAATTGTATGAAAACTGGCAACCCTGTAAATGTCATTTTACTACCGTCTTCAAAAAAGACAGACTATAGGCTCTCTTGGGGTAAGTGGACTGGTCATAAGACTGATTAGGAAGACTTGTACCATTGTAACTTTTTGTGTACGGGAGCAATTATTCTTCACGAATTTCATCGCGCTCATCCAGCGCGATCGCCGCCGCGCAGCGACCGCGTGCGTCTAACTGTCATGGCAAAATACGCTCTATTTATTTACCATTTACGTTTGAACTTAAATGAGCGTTCCGGGCACGCTAGCGAACCTGACTTGAATTTGGTCAACGCGGCGGCCGCGCGGCGGCTACACGGACTCCGTTCAGCGCCCGCGCCGCATTCGCGCGTTTTGTATTATTCAGAGGAATTTAAATGTCGTTCGAATTCAGATTCGCTCATTGTATTTTTGTTACAGCTTTTTGTTCTTTCATTTTCTACATCAAATTTTGCATCATTTTCATCATCATATTATTTGTTTGATAAAAAAGACTGACTAATAATATTGTTCTTTAACAGGCACGCTGGTTACTCGTATTGCGGCGCGTGCGCAGCGTACGCGTACAGACAAGTCAGTCCTGTAGTTGTGTAAGTGTGATCCAAATGTAAATTATGATAGCAAACTGCCTACGCTGTCGAACGGTTACCACGCTAGACTGCCACGCAGAGGTCCCGGGTTCAATTCCCGGGCCGGGAGAAATATTTGTATGGTCTAAATTTACTTCTTTCAGGAATTTGGGTGCCATTTGTGGTTGTCTGTGTGTGTGTGTGTCCAAGCACCCGCGACACAGGGTTTACCTAGTGCGGGGCCATGAGTGTGTGCGTTATTATATTATTAATGTATCTGCCTTAAACATCGCACTGTTAATACAATAGTGTATTAAGTCAAAAAGTGTATTTTTTTTTAACTGCCTCCGTGGCCGAACGGTTACCATGCCGGACTGTCACGCAGAGGTCTCAGGTTCGATTCCCGGGCCGGGAGAAATATTTGTATGGCCTACATTTATTTCTCTCGTGAGTTACTAGTAAACTAGATCGAGGTGGAGGCCCATGATCTGCCCACCTCTGTCAGGTATGATGATAATAATATGTATGTATAACAGCCTCCTTGTCCGAACGGTTACCATGCCGGACTGCCACGCTGAGGTCCCAGGTTCGATTCCGATTACATTTATTTCTCTCGCGAGTTTGGGTGTAATTTGTGGTTGTTTATGTGTGTGTCCATGGCACCCGCGACACAGGGTTTCCCTAGTGCGGGGCTATGTTGAGTGTGTGCGTTATTATTATTATTATTTTTAACCGACTTCAGGACTAAAGGAGGAGGTTCTCAATTCGACTGTATTTTTTGTCTCTATTTGTGAACCGATTTTGATGATTCTTTTTTGTTGCAAAGAAGTAGACCTCAGTATTGGTCCCATTTAAATTTGAAAAAAATATTCCACCTCTAAGGGTGGCAAATTAGGGGATGAATCCCGTTACGCGCACTTTCCAGTAATAGATTTCAATAAAACTTGGCAAATGGTTGAAGTTTCAGGAACTTTTGAGGTCTTTTTTTTAATTAAAAAGGTTACAATTATTTAGGTTCGATGAAAAAACTAATTACTTCCCTTGAAAGATTATTACAATTTATGTATAGGTTACAAGTTTATTACAGACATATAAACAGTTTCCTAATTACCAAATATATTTAAAAATAAAATGTAAAAAATAATTTCATAATTAAATTTGTATTGAATTGATATTCAAGTATTTTTTGTGAAATTATTCCACTAGTTTGTTATAATTATGAAATTCCTTCGATTCCGGATTGTCACCGTCACTTGATATTATAAAAAAACCATGACATTTGACTCCGTCGTCTTCAAAAAGGGTAGACGATAGATATACGCCTGTGGGCGTGCCCCACTGTGGTGCAGTTGTTAAGTGACGTTTAAAACGTAGATAATCAGAAACTTTCATTATATTTTATTCCAGGAAACGGATCTTCATCCTAGGCCCATCGCACCACGTTCGACTTGGCGGCTGTGCACTCTCCTCGCTAGACAAGTACCAGACGCCGTTATATGATCTCACCATTGACAAACAAAGTTGGTTTTTTTATGGCAGTGATTGCATCGTCAATCTGCATTTTTCATGCGCACTTTTTGCTATTTTCCTACAATTTTTTATGATTTACAATCCGTCAACCAGAAGGTAGACCTACAACTGGGTAAAAAATTGCTGCGTGCCTTATTCCAACGTGACCATGGTCGAGTTTTAAATTTCAGAAAAAAGTCGCTATTTAGTCGGTTCTAGTAAAAAAAAATGGATTTAGTCGGTCCGCCGTTCAAAAGTTATAAGGGTGTTTTACTGTCCACGCTGCAATAAGCATATTCCAGCGGCACCTTGTCTCAGTCTCGAGAACTACAAAACCTAGCTTAGATCTGATTACACTAAAAAAAGTCGTGATTTAGTCGAAAAAACAAAATTCAGTTGTTACGCTGTTTTGAAGTTATTGAGGTGTTTTACTTTCCACGCTAGAATAAGCTTATTCCGGCGGCACCATTTTTGAATCTCGAGATAGCCGCTAGATCTGATTGTACCCAGAAATAGCCATGAATTAGTCAGTTCTAGTCGGAAAATTTTAGAATTAGTCGCTCCTTTGTTTAGAATATATAACCGATTTATTATTTGAAGGTTATACATATCGCACTGTTAATACAATAGTGAATTAACTCAAAAAGTGGATGTTCTCAGAATCGATGAAGAACGAATTATTCACTTTCCGCATAAAATAATTATAATTTGTGTATATGTTATAGTATGTTATAGACACTTAAACAATTTTTCAAAGAAATTAATAATTCAAATCGCTAGACTTAGTCATTTCTATTTAACTATAAGAATGAAACAGGACCGCTCTGAATCTTAGCTGGCTCAAACGTCCCTATAACATTGGCAGCATTACCGCGCTGAATAGCCAACGAAATTTGTTGCACCAAGTAAGATTTCTTAAATATATTTAGCAATAAAATGGAAAAAATAATTTCATGTTTTTGAATAAGGTTTCTCTTGGCCGAAACTAGCTCACATAAAGTGTGTCTCATATTGAGTTAAGTAGATATCTTTTGATTGTTTCTTACAATATTCTAACAACGGTTTTTTGACGTGTATCAAATTTCAATCAATGTATCAAATTTTAAGTGTAGAATCAAATTTTACGTTCAATTATGATATAATTTTAAATTTCACATATTTTGAGTTACAACACTATTGTAATAGCAGTGCGATGTGTTAGTCTCGGAGCTCATGTACAAATTTGCGACTAGAACGGACTAAATAGCGACTTTTGTTCTGGCCAGTCAAATTTCAAAAACTTGTCCATGGTCACGCTGGAATGAAGATTACAAGTCAGACTATCATTTGTGGTGCACAAAGTAAAGTAGCAAAATAAGGCATTTGTTTTTATTTTTGACATATTGCGCGATATAATTGACACGACCATTACGTACAAAGCGAAAATGGCTAACTGAGCGCAAGTATATGGAACTCCGCGTACTGTTGGCACACGTACCGCGCAAACTAAGCAGTTCTATTACTGTCGATTCCAATTTGCTACACACCACTTTTGGCTCCAGTTTGTAAGTTGCTCTTGTAGCTCGCTTTTGCTGGACATAGATTCTTAGTCTTATCTTAGACAGATACTTCATAGTCTTGTAAGTCATATTTATTTACAGTATATGCCGAGTTGGAAGCGACACGGCAATTCGAATGGATGGACGTACAAACGGATGAAGACGAGCACTCTATAGAAATGCATTTACCATATATCGCCAAGGTCATGGAAGAGTAAGTAGCCATTACAGTCTTTTTGATTATTTTTAATCGATCTTCAGTACCATGATAGTGCAGTACAACTCTAGTAATACTATAGGAATTCATTTACAAATTCCCACAGCGCCCAATTCTGCTAATTCTTGATTCCTTTGAGATATTGGCTATTCTGTTAAAATCTAGTTGCAATGGCTGTTAAGTTTCAGTGGAATGGCATATTCATACATTAAATTACTAACAATCAATGTTGCCTTACTATAACTACCATGGAAATTACTATATCTTAGTTTTTATGTCGTTTAAATAGCAAGATAAATATGAATATTATTCATCGGGTATATAACCAGAAATAGAGACAAAATGTCATTTAATTTGTTTGAAAAATTTTCTGCCAAATCATTTCGGTGACAACTGCGCTCCGATTGGTCAGCCCGAATTCGAACCAATTGACGGGTGTCGTCAATTGTTTCACTTAAAATCGACCAGTTTAACTTGAGCGTTGCTATAATGGACGAAAATTTAAAAATTACTTAATTAATATTTAATGATTCCGTTTGTATTGTAATTAGATGTTTTGCTGTTTTCCCCACACCACCGAATGGAAAAGCCCGCCATTGTTAGAGGTATTATCTTTATTACAATAAATACAGAATATTTTTGGAATATATGGAGACGTACACACAGGTCAGTTGTTGGCGCTGTACTATTTCAGCTTTCTAATTTGTGATTTCAGCGCAAACGAGAGTTGATATTTAAAAGTAATATAAGGCACATTTGTCTGTTGAGTTGCATGGCCCTTATTTCGTCTCTATTTCTGGTTATATACTCGATGGCCGCCAAGCAGTAATGTGACAATTACCATATTGAAAGGTAAGGGTGCCTTCAAATTTGACGCCTGTAAAACGCTGCAAGTTTCTTACAATATCTAGTCTGCAAATGAAATGGAGTTGGGCTGGTCATACCTGAAGATCTGTGGGCCGAGGTGGAACCCCTAATTTCACCGGCACCTTTAACCCGAACCGGAACGCAACTCCTATGGGGGCCTACTCTCGTATTCCGTCAGACGTTTGTCCGAAACAATGACTGTTAATTAAAAAAAAATTTGTTTATTTGACAACAGAATTGTGCAGGTAGATACATAATAAATAAGAAATAAAATACAACTCTATAGACACAACTTGTTGCAACGTAAATCGCGTACAGAGAATTGGTCTTGATTCCTTGAAGCCTGTCTCGCAGGTCATCAATGTTTCCTCTTTACAAGTTAGAAGTTAACAATTATCGCAATCGGAATACAATATCAAAGAAGTTTTGTCAATAAATTATTAGGACTAAATATGAACAAATGAAAATAAATAAGGTAATAAAAATACTTAATTAAACTTATCGAGTTCTTAGGTTTTCACGATTGTTACACATAGGAAATGAAACTATTTTTCCGGATCTTGGAAAATTAGAAATTGGAATGTTTTCTTTGTAAAATTAAAAATAAGGTGATTAATTAATAACTATTGTAACTATAGTGAAAAAATAGGGTGGTTTGCATCAATATTAGATATAACTGGTTGAAGACTGTACCACCTCAGTCAACCGTGACCATGGGACCTGTAAAGCGCCCGAAACGTCGGTTTGTTTGAAAAAACAAATATACGCGATTTAAATCCGGAAAAATAGTTTCATTAATTAAACTTGTGATACATTATAATGGAAAGGATTGACGAATACTTCTTTTTTTTTTAATAATAATAATAATGTATTATATTTCGCTCCACAAACATAACAACTAAACATGAACAAAAGAAAGATAGACAAAAATAGTGTTTATATTATGCGTGCGTGCGTGCGTGCGTGTGTATGTGTGTGTGTGTGGTACATGTTTGTGAGTAGACGGTTTTGTATACTAATAACTCAGGCTTTAATAATAAGAAGTTCCTCAACTTCATCGTAACTACGTCCTAACAACCATTTCGTGATTAACGCTCTTGCTTCATGTTTAGTAAGGAGTAAAATGTTTAATTTATTATTTAAAAAAATTATAAAGACGACTACCTCTGTAGTAGAAGAATCTTTGCGCAAACGAAGTTCTAGCGCTATTGTGTTCGGAACTAGTAAAGAGTCTTCGATTGGTAGACACAGAAGATTTTCTAGAAGGTAGAGTGATTGAGTGTTGACCATTGACTTACAATTAAATGGACGACGGGTCTAATACAAAAACCACGAAAAAAATGTCCCAAGTCAACCTATTTAAACGTAGTGACATGTAAAGGAATATGAAAAAGCTAACACATTGAATTTAAATTGTAATGTCATCGCAGTACTGTCTAATTTTGCTTGCTTCGCTGTCAGTCGAACAAACGAAGACTAAAGCGTGAATGACGCTCTGTATACGATTTTAACGCCCTATAAGTTCGGACTCTTTTTAGCGCGGACCCGACGTCCATATAATTGTAAGTCAATGGTGCTGACGCATTAAAGTCAGAAGCAGTACAGTTGCCGTACAGATAGTACGTTCGCTTCCGGATATAGCTGCCATGTAGGAAAAAGTCGGGGTTTTAGGAGTGCAACCTTCAGCAAACATCTTTGTGCTCGTTCCAATATTATTAGATTGTTTTTATATGATACTATATCTTTACAAAGTTGATTATGGGTGTTAATTGTTGTACGTGTGTGTATGTGTAGACAATGTCAACTATGAAGCTTTCAATTTTTTTATTTATTTCTTATTTGACAGTAATTGTTTCGGATGCGTGTCGGACGAAGAACGAGAGTACAGGGTCTGTAGGTCCATTCCGAACCTTACGATAACTCTGTTGTCGACCGATTCGATTACGTATCGTACGATTTCTTTTCATTATTTTTTACAATAAATCGAATCAAACGTCAAACTGTCGTATTCGAAACCGAACCGAAATGACGTCACACTCGCACGATTACTCGTACTTCTCAACCGGCAAAGGCTGCGTTATTCAGAACGAAATCTTTTATTATTTTAAATAAAACCTGGAGTTTTGTTCAATTTCATTAATTTATTTGAATGCGAGACTAATGCATTGCTATATTTAAGGCCTTTACAGTCTTGAAAATGTATATAAAAGGACTTCATTTTTCTTATAATCTATTTCACCGACTAACTCCGTAAACGCTCTTGGACAACGACATCCAATCGAACGATTCGATTAAAATATCGAAGAGTCCTGAATCGGGGTCCTGGACCGGTGTGTCGCTTACCACCAGAGGCACGACCCGTTCGTCACTTGGGTATCATTAAAAAAAACGCAGTATCACGTTACTACTTGGCGGCAGAAAGAGATAAGGTGGCAGTACTTCCCTGGATGAACTCTTTCACATGGACCTCTACTGCTACTTTCGATCTTTGTACGAATGATAATTACAATATTGAATTGTTATTACACATTCAAAATGAATTTTAAACAAATTTTGTTTTCTTTTTAGATATAAAACTGGATTTACAATTATTCCTATTCTAGTTGGATCTCTTACGCCTGAAAAGGAGGCAAGGTGAGAATTTTATCTGTATATTTTTATAATATTATATATTTTTATTAATTTTATTATTAAAAGTATTTCTTCAGTATTAAAGGGACGAAATCCAAAAAAGTCTTTTTTTATTGCCTACGCGGATTTGATTAGAACACTAATGCCGGATTCACGAGATTTTCACTAGCGTTTTTCGCTTGCTTTCGTTGGCTGGGTAGAAATCTGCCTTTCGCTCAAAGGCGTTCAGAAGTCTTCTGCTTTGCGTTGCGGAGAGACTTGCGCGCATACGCGGCGCCTTGCCTTTGTTTGGGTTGTCGACACTCTCGAACCGTCTGCTGCTCTGTGATTGGCCAGTGGTGCTGCCCTCCGTAAACGTTCCTTGTTGCTTGCGTGGAAATATCCAGCTTGCTAGATATCAAACTCAAGCAACGTAAAAAAATCCAACCCAAAGCAAGCGGCTGGCGCAAGCGAGCCACTCGTGAACGGTCTTTTCACGTGTTGGGAGTGCCCATACCAACAAAAACGATAGTGCCGTGTATAGAGTGATTATTTAAAGAGAAATTTAGAACTTTCTAGATGTCCGTGTCTGGTACCGAGTGTAGCAGTTGTTGAGGTTTAAGTGGGCACTGGCGAGTTAGCGATGCGCGACTTTGAATGTTACTAATATTAATCATTCGAATGGGCAAATCATTCATTTAACTGCTTCCGTGGCCGAACGGTTACCACTCTCTGCCACGCAGAGGTCCCAGGTTCGATTCCCGGGTCGGGAGAAATATTTGTATGGTCTACATTCATTTCTCTCGTGAGTTTGGGTGTAATTTGTGGTTGTCTATGTGTGTGTCCATGGCGCCCGCGACACAGGGTTTCCCTATTGCGCGGCTATGTTGATTGTGAGCGTTATTATTATTATAAGTTTATTTAAACATATAAATTAAATTTAGATTTAGGTTTAGATTCGCCTAAGTCGAATCCACTGCCATTCGGTCGGGTGCACAAGTCGAATGACCATTATATCGGAACACCTCACTCATCATGTCCATGCCAAAATATCCCTGTCCCCGTCACATTTACAGTATTTACCTTTACGTCAGAGAGGGCTAGGTGATCACGAGCAGAAATGCTGTATGGAATCTATGGATTAGTACTACTAATTAGTAATGAATGATCATTCAAATCATTCGATTACGAAAATTACTAATTTTACATTCGAATGACATAATTAGCGATTACTAATGAGTCGAATAACGAAATCATTCAAGAGACTGCCGCGGGAGCGTGCGGATGTCCCCGCGTCTCTGTAACTCCCCGCCGACGCCTGCGCCGCTAGAGTTTGCCCCACGCGCAAGTGAAAGACTCGTAATCAAATGCTAGTTACGCGTAATTGCACTATCCCCGACGATATACACTTCGATTATTATCAGAACCGCTATATAATAATAATAATAATAATAATTCATTTATTTGTGAAAACACAGGTTAGATATGCAAGTTGGCATGTACAAAAATGAGTAGGTATAGTTTCACTGTGTCCGGCCAAACATTTGGCATACAAACATATTGAAAGTATATTTGGTATATGAATATTATAATACAAACATAATTACCGGTATTGACAATATAAAAATGAAAAGAAAAAAAAAAGGAAATATATTTAAAGTATTACATATGTTTATAATATCGTTAGTATTCAAGAATGTCAGATTAATTGTTAATGTCCAAAATAGTGAATATAATAAAAACAAATTAATTCATTTCAACAATTAAATTACAAAAGTCAAGCGGCTTTGTCAGGTCAAAAAGATTAAGTTATAGTGTCATTTAAGAATTCGTTGATGTCATAGTAACATTTATCTATTAATAAATTGCTCAACACATTTTGGAACTTATGCGTTTCAAGTGATTTTATACGATCAGGAATTTTATTGTATATGACCGGTGCGAGTTGAACAACACTCTTTCTAAGAAGAGCTGTTTTGCAGATCTTTGTGCTTAATAAATGTGGTCTAGGACGTAAATGACGATTTTGTACCGGCGGTCTAACTGAGAAGAAATTTGAGTTCATTTTGACAAATCAAGAGATTTCAAGATTATACAGGCAAGGAAAAGTCAACAGTCTCAGAGACTTAAAAAAAGGACGACAGCTTTCCGTATATTTTAACGCTGTCACCAAAACACTACAAAATCTTGATTTGTAATCAAGATTTTAAAAATATTGGTCGTAAATTATTTATTGATTTATTTACTCATATTACAATAATTTATTGTCTAGGTACTTGGCACTCTTGAACCTAAAGGGTTTGTTTGAGTGTTGCTCTATTCGTAATATTTATACACACATAATCTTAAATATATAAACAAAATTTTGTTTATTGAACAAATAAACGTACGCATAGACAAAGCGTGTCACAAATAATAACGAAAGAACAAACAATATCGTGATATTTAACAATCTTAGTAAATTAAATATAAATAACTATATAATATAATATTATCATAATCATTAAAATAGAAACAAAAGTAAAAACTAAAAAAACAAGGTAGTTTTATAAAATATATTTTAATTTAAAGCCTGCGATACGTGTTGGCAGAGACTAGGCCAACTCGTACGTTGCCCACACGTTGGGCGCAATCTGTTTTCATTGGGCATTGAAACGATATGGACGACGTAAAAGTGAAACTTACAACTTACATGAAAACTTTGGGAATGGAACCTATTTTTCGGATCTCAATTATTTTTCAAACATACCAACGTTTCGGGCCCTTTATAAATAAATAAATTTATAGGTCCCATAGTCACAGCTGACTGAGTAAACTTATCAACCAGTCAAGTCTGATTTTAATGCAAAATGCCTATTTTTCACTATAGTTACAAAAGTTATTAATTGAACTATCTTATTTGTTCCAAACGTGTGAACACCATTGGCCGAGCGCAGGCGAGCTCCAGAGACGAATGGTCGCGAGCGACTGCGAATTGTGACAGGTCACGCCAAAAGAGCCCTGTACACGTTGGCACTTGCCTTCACTCGATCAACTAGGCGAGCGCCACCGAGCATGTATTGCAGGCTTAAAAAAGAAGTAACAAGTTGTGGACTCTTAATATAATTTAACCTTTACCCTGTTGGCATATCGTTGAAAGTTGTTGGATGCTACGACGTTTTGAAATTTTAATTTATGTACTACCATCTAGTGGTCAATAACTGAACGACGACGAGCGATTGGTCTCGAGTCGCGAAACTGTCAAAAAATCTTCTAGACTCGCGAATTTTTTTCCAGGTACGGTGCAATCCTGGCGCCATACCTCGCGGACCCTCAGAATCTTCTGGTAATCTCTTCAGACTTCTGTCACTGGGGCTCACGCTTCAGATATACGTGGAGAGATAATTCGAGGGGACCTATTTATCAGAGTATCGAGTGGCTGGATAAACAGGTACGAACACCTTTCTGGGAGATACAGTCGATTTGCCGTTCTGGTTGGAGGCATTGTGAAAACTCAGGTGACAAAATTTGAGGAGCAGAGATTGTTAGACCTGGACGGTGTCCTTGTGTGTCGCCACTGTTTGCGAATATTTACCAATAACATTGGCTTCTGTAGCCATCTAAGGGCACATGAAAGAGCAAACAACCGTAGCTCTAATTCTATACAATAGCAGTCGCTGTAACCGAAACCGGCTAGGACACACACACACACACACACACACGAATAACTTTGGGTATATTTTTAGCAACGTGGTTTTCTTTGAAGTGAATATGCCTTGGCTATACAAAGTTGTTTAATTGTTATGTCTATTGGTGGAGCAACCTGTATACAGGGTTATTTGTAAAATACTAAGAACTTCATAGGACTATATTATTAACACCATAAACAATAAGTTTCATTCCGTGAATTTTAATAATTATGTTTTGTTACAATTATTAATACAAAGATAACACTTAGAAAAAGATCCTTCCATTCGGCCAGATTCGAACCGATGACGTCCTCTAACAAACCGTGGCACACGCTATGGCCAACTAAGCACGGAACGAACCAGCGGAACTCGCGAATTTTTCCATGTGCAAACGTGCAACGTGTCCGACAAACAATTGTTGGATCTTTGTGCCTGGTTTTTAACGATTTTTCAGCCGTAGCGCCATCTATGAGAAATCTATGAAAGTATTTCGTCACCCAGTTAGCGACACCTTTACTACCAGCCCTGGCTAAAGATGTCGCTATTCACTGTAATTAAGTGTTTCATTGAACGTCAGGATGTTTCACTTATTTTTTGTGAAATTATTCCAGTAGTTTGTTATAATTATTAAAACAAAGATCGAACACTTAGTAAAAATTCCTTCGATCCGGCCGGATTCGAACCGACGCCGACGTCCTCTAGCAAACCGTGGCAGATGCTATGCCAACTAAGCATTATTTCTAAGTGTTTGATCTTTGTATTAATAATTATAACAAACTAATGGAGTAATTTAAAAAAAAAATTAATATCATGGTGGTGAAACATCCTAACATTCAATAAGACACTTCATTGTGTTTTAATTTTGTACAAAAATAAAAATGTTTGTAAGAAAGATAGAAAGAAAGAAAGAAATATTTTTATTCCATAAATGTGTTCTACATTTAACAACTGCGAAACATAATTATAACATGAAATAAATCGAAATAAAAAAGAAAAAAAACCATAACAATTATAATACACACAAATAGCACACAAACAGGAAGCAAATTACAATAACAATAAATAATCCCGTCCGGACGCTTTCGCAACCGTAGTACGCAACCAGTTGCGAATGAGGATTTTTTACTCTTTGATCGCAACTATTGCCAATCAAGTGTATTTTTTTGTGGTTGCGAAAAAAATTCAACTTTTCAAAATACGTAGTTGACATGGAAGAAAAGCATTTCTTGATACGCAACCAGTGACCAACATTATAAACAAATAATTATCGTAGTGTGGATCCATGTATTAGAATAGAATAGAATAATTTATTTCGGACCATGTTCCATAGTAATGTTAATAATACAGTAAATTTGTCTTACGTGCTATGGTTAGTACAATACAAAATTACTTAATTCTAGTGAAATGCTACACCTAGACCTTAATGTATTCAGTATTACGTACAACATTATCTGGTACAAAAAAAAATTAAAACTACTTATATATAAATATTATTTTTCTTCCTATTTTAAGATATAATACCCACCGGACGCTTTCGCAACCGTAGTTCGCAACCAGTTGATGTGTGAGCACGTCACAATGTTACATTGTCAAGATTAACAAGAAATTATTGAATTGGCTGGTATACTTTTGAAAAAAAAAAGTCTTCAGTCGCCACTGGTTGCGAAACTTAGCAATCATGATGTCTAGTTGCGAACGAAGAAAAAATACTCTTGTTTGGCAATTAGTTGCGATCAAAGTGTAAAAAATCCTCATTCGCAACTGGTTGCGATCAAAGTGTAAAAAATCCTCATTCGCAACTGGTTGCGAACTACGGTTGCGAAAGCGTCCGGAGGGAATAATCAAGCGGTAAGCCGTAAATGCACATGCTGTGCTGTTCGTCATCCGTCATCCACTGACCTTGGTGTCGTCGCACTGCATGTGCTACGACGCCGATTTTCAGTGGATCCGGTAACAGGGCACATATGGCACGGAACATAGTAGACGACACAGACGTGTACAATTTAATATAATTTTGGCTAATAGTATAACTATATAATAATAGTGTAATTGTAAACGATAGTGCAATTGTAAATAGTAATGCAACTCTGAATAATAGAGTAATTGTAAAAAATAATAATTCGCACCCCTCATGGAAGAATGGCATAAGTGGAGTAGCGTCAAACATGTTTATTGCTCCAATACAGAAAAATATAACCCACATCCTCTCCAATTCTTGTAACTCTGTCTACAATATTAATCGCTAGAATTACAAGAATTGGAGAGGATGTGGGTAATATTTTTCTGTATCTAATGGAGCAATAAACATGTCTGACGTAACTCCACTTATGCCATTCTTCCATGAGGGGTGCGAATATTGTAGTAATTAGCATACAGATATAGCACGAGAATGGTTACCATGCCGGACTGTCACGCAAATGTCCCAGGTTCGATTCCCGGGCCGGGAGAAATATTTGTATTACCTAGATTTATTTCTCTCGTGACTTTGGGTGTAATTTGTGGTAGTCTTCGTGGGTGTTCATGTTCATGGCACCCGCGACTCATGGTTTCCCTAGTGCGGGGCTATATTGAGTGTGTGCGTTATTATTATTTGACGTCAGTCAATGTCTTAAACCGGGTCACAGAGTAAGAAGGTATCAGTCTCAGTCCATTAAGAAAGCCAGAGTCACAGATAAGTATCAAACAGAGAAAACAACACACGTCCGCATAACACAGCTGTAAAAACCGACCAATTAGCTTGCCATTATGAATACGGCTTTAGCGACTTGTCTGTAACAAATCACGTGCGGCTGTGTTTTCACAGTACTAGGTCGCTAACTTGAATAGACTCAAGTTGTATTGTGGTCGAGCCTTTTCTTTAGGATATGTATAAACAAAACGTATTGTCAATTGTTTTAGGGTATGGATATTATAGAGAAAATGGATCCTCGTGCGTTTACGGATTACCTCAACAAATATGGGAACACCATCTGCGGCAGACACCCCATTGGCGTGTTATTGCAGGTACTGCTGTTTTTTTTTATTCAGGATGTTTCACCATTATAATATTCTATTATTTTTTGTGTTATTCCACTAGTTTATTATAATTATTAAATAATGATGGAAACTTAGAAAAAAAATTCTTGCCAGACGCCAAGCCACGGAACGAACCAGCGGACTTCATGAATTTGTCTGTGCAGCGAGCATTGAACTACCAACAAATGTACGTCGGGTCTAATACAAAACCCACGGAAATAATGTCCGCAGTTAACCTATACAAACGTAGTGACATGAAGGTGGCATGTAACGAAACCTAAAAAAAAACTAAAACATTTAATATACATGTAATTTCATTGCAGTACTGCCTAATTTTGCTTGCAACAATTTGAGGGCCCAAAAATACCATATTCAGCGTCTACTGGATACTTACAAAATGCATCATATTTAGCTTCGATTGAAAATTACTTGAACACAAGAGTAATGGAGCAGCCTTTAAAAAAAATATGATACAAAAAAACCTGTTTTTACACTTTACTGCAGTAATTTGTACAAGTTATTATTATATAGTACTGCATGATTGACAACCGCGCTGTCAATCGAACAAACGAAGATTGTTGCGCGATTGACAGCGCGGCATCTGTATGCGATTTTAACGCCTTATAGGTGCGGACACTTTTTAGCGCGAACCCGACGTCCATTTGTTGCTAAGTCAATGGCAGCGAGTAAATAATCTTAATAGCATTGCAGCTGTTATGGATCACCAGGTGCACGATTTGTTCGTCCCGTCACTTAATATCATAAAAAAATTTCAACTGTAATGGGTAGGAGTGTCGCTTACCAACAGGCGCGCGACTTAATTACTCATTTATCACGTTTTTTGCTAATCAAAGTTCGTGAAGTGTAAGTGAATGTTTTTTTTTTGTTTGCAGGCGATATCGAAGCTGCAGTCACAAGCAAACTCACCTCAAATGTCATTCAAGTTTTTAAAATACGCTCAGTCCTCCCAATGTATGAACATGCAAGACTCTTCTGTCTCCTACGCTAGTGCATCTCTCGTTTTCGAATAATTTTTTTAAGAATTAATTGTAATAAACAAAATGTATTTTAAGCTGGCAGGTTAGCTTTTTTCTCGCTAAGTATGAATCAACGCCCATAAATGTATCATACTCCGTCCATCAAGTATATAACCAGAAATAGAGACGAAACGTCATTTAATTTGTTTGAAAACTATTCTGCCAAATCGTTACGGTGACAACTGCGCTCCGATTGGCCAGCCCGAATTCGAAACAATTAACGGGTGTCGTTAATTGTTTCACTTCATATGGACCACTTTTACTTGCTATAATGGCCAAAATTTGAAAAATTACGATGAAATGTAATTACGTTTGTTTGGTTTTGGAGAATCTTCGTAACACTATTAACACAGGTTTTGTACCTAGAATAGGTTATGATGGTTCAACTTTTGTTTTGCCCATACAATCGAATTGTACCTTATTGTAGTCATCTAGTTTAAGTGCTGTATGTTTAAATTGAATAAATTTATTATTATTATTATTTATATGTCTCGCATTGTTAAATGCAGAATATTTTTGAAATATACCGAGACGTACACACAGGTCAATTGTTGGCGCTGTCTACATTTCAGTGCAAACGAGAGTTGATATTTAAAAGTGATATATATAGCCCATTTGCCTGATGAGTTGCCAGGGATGGAAGGCCCTTACTTCGTCTCTATTTCTGGTTATATACTCGATGACTCCGTCCAAACATTTATTTAACTTTTGACATTCACGATTAAAACTTCTGAAATAAAATCGATTGATATAAACAATCGAATCGGAAACGCCAATGTCCTAATGGATTAGATCACCAATTCATTACAATTCGAGCTGTCAAAAGTTAAATAAACGGTTGGACGGAGTTTATTTGTAATAAACAAAATGCATCTTAAGCTTAACCGGTTTGCTTTTTTCTCGCCAAGTATGAATCCACGCCCATAGATGTATTAAAGATCTGAAGTTGATAAAAACGTTTGTCACAGCGATGGCACCAATAGTCGATTTTAAAGAAACTGTGTTTTTAAATTTGGTATAAATTTCTTATTTTTATACATAATATCTGTAGTGATTAATTTATATGACAGATATAATCTCAAGAAAGATTGTGCTGTAGTATGTTTCATAAAAAGCTAATATAATTACTACTAAAAAAACCTAAACAACAATTTCTTTAAATCTCCAGTAAAATCCATTAATTAACTAACCAGAATTACACTTGTCCATAGGAAACGTGTTAGTATGATATAAAATGTTGTCCCTAATACAATACAATACAATATAAATATTCTTTTTGCACACTGGGACAAATACATAATAATACAAAAAATTAAAATGACAGGTACAATATGGCTTTATGGCTAAATAGCAATCTCTTCCAGGCAACGTTCTTGCTACAGGAAAAAACTAAGATAATAAATAATTAATTGAGGTCGCAAAAGAATATGTATTTAATACACATAGTACATATATACACAAATTAAAATAATAATAATAATAATAATAAACAAATAAAGTACTTAATTATGTTGAAAGCTGCTGATCGCGATGAACTTAAAAAAACGAAAAAGATTTAAAACAATTCGCACCCCTCATGGAAGAATGGCATAAGTGGAATTACGTCAGACATGTTTATTGGAGAGCATGTGGGTTATATACATATTTCTGTATCTAATCTCCAGTTGGAGAGGATGTGGGTCATATTATTCTGTATCTAATGGAGCAATAAACATGTTTGACGTAATTCCACTTATGCCTTTCGTCCATGAGGGGTGCGAATTTAATTTATTAAGTAAAAAAATTACAATTATAATTCTTATTTCTATTTTACAACAATGCTCGGTCAATGTGAGAACCAGATTGAAGTCCACGGAAAATGCCAAGCGGCCACACAGCTTACGTGTAGATTGCACAATACATGTGTCACTCGTTTTCATGGAAGATGCAAAGGGGCATGTTACATACGTCTAGATCATCTAACAAATAAATAAATAAAATCTCAGTACAGAGTAGTACTAAAAAAACCGACTTCAAAAGTTCGTGGAATTACATTTGCCAAGTTTATTGAAATCAATTACCGGAAAGTGCGCGAAATCGGATTGATAGTTACCCTTAGAAGTGGAATAAATTCTTCAAATTTAAATGGGACCACTACTGAGTCCTATAGTCCTAGTACCCTATGTCCAACAAAAAAAGAATCATCAAAACCTCCTCCTTTTTTAGAAATGAATTTAAAAAAGATGTCAAACAGTGGTGCTT